ACACGCTTGTCTCACAACCAAAAGAGAAGCGCGACTTATTTACCCGCGTCCTCCTTAGAAACGCTGCAATCTCCGAGGACATACCAACAGAAAGCCCAGTCCTACAAAGGCAAGCTACGCTTCCTTTCCCGCAGGTTACGAAGGACGAGGTACGGTCTTCGGTTCTCACCGCGGGAAACACGACTCCTGGGACCGACGGAATCACTACGACTGCTTTGAAAATAGTATGGCCAGTTATTGAGGATATTGTCCTCTCACTTTATAGCGGGTGTATATGCGAGGGTTGGTATCCTACTTGTTTTAAAGAAGCAACTCTCGTGATCCTAGTAAAACCGGGAAAAAGAGATAAGACACTCCCGCGCTCCTATAGGCTAATTGCGCTCTTGGCCGTCCTTGGAAAAGGCTTGGAGAGACTTATCGCTAGACGACTTGCCTGGATCGTAGTTAAATATCGTGTTCTATACGATTAATAGTTTGGAGCACTCCCTCTTTGCTCTTATAGCGACCTTATCGCAGCGGCCATCTACGATATCGAGTGCGCCTGGCAAAGAGGCCTGGTTACCTCTATGCTTATGCTCGATATAAAAGGGGCTTTCGACGCCGTGCTCCTAGGACGACTGGTCCGACGCCTCTGCGAACAAGGATGGCCGGAGAACCTCGTACGCTGGGTCTTAAGTTTTGTTACCGGAAGGAGAGCAAGAATAAGGCTTGATGGGGAGGTAGGAGACGTCTTCGGTCTCGAATATGGACTACTATAAGGCTTACCCGTGTCTCCTATTCTATTTATGCTCTATATTGAACCTCTTTTTAAGCTAGGCATAGCTCGCCTAGGAAGGAAGCGATCTCGTTTTGGCTACGCCGATAACGTCGCTATTTTAATAAGCTCAACATTACTAAAGAATAACTATGACATCCTAACCAAGGAATAGAAAGAAACCTTAGGATGGGGCGCGACGGAAGGAATCACTTTTGACCTTGATAAGTCCGAATTAATCTACTTCACTAAGAGACGAAAAGACGGAAACCTATTAATCATAGTAGGTTTGCCGGATGGGAGGTATTATATAGTTCAGGCTATTAAAGAAGGCTCTTCTCTACGCTGGCTCGGCGTTTACTTCGACCGTAAACTCATATTCAAGAGTTACATAAGAAACCTCTCTGCAAAAGTATGCCAAGTAGTCAATGGACTACGGGGACTAGGGAACACTATCTAGGGCGCGCCTGCGTACTTACTTCGTCGAGCGATCACCTCTTGTGTATTACCCACTCAGTACTATATATCTGAAGTATAGTGGCCCGGTAAGAGCCGGATAAAGAATGGACGTATTATCTCAAACGGGGTTGGTAGTCTGCTATACCAACTGGACGCGACGTAAACCAAAGCCATTAGAGCGATGGTCCCCGTATACAGAACTACGCCTGTACCGATCCTACAGCGCGAGGCGGCTCTACCCCCAGCAGAGGTGATACTGGACGCGAAGCTCCACACAGCGTCCACCAGAATCCATCGTCTGGACGAGCGACACCCTCTCCGAACGAGACTCAGGGACAAATCAGGACCAGACTCACGGCTACGACGAATGGCAAGCCTCGTAAGCAAAAATACCGAATACATCGATCCGTTAGAACTCCCCCCTTGGGAGCAACTAGCGGACTGGCAGACAGCCCTCGCCAGGGTCGGCTACGAACCTAATAAAACCAAAGAAGAACAGGCCCTCTCCTTTGCAGGCAGGATGGCAACTTTCTCTAAGCGGGACATTGTTGTCTACACTGACGGGTCCCAGATGTCGGACGGCAGCAGCACCTCCGCCGGAGCAGGCTGGGTAGGGTACCAAGCTACACGGCAGATCTTCCGCGGATCCGAACCACTCGGCTCCCAAACTGAGGTGTATGACGCGGAGGCACATGCTGCGTATCACGGCCTGATGGAAGCCACCCGGGCTCTTACAGCTCGTATGGCAGATAACGTCCACATCTGCCTCGACAACCTCGCAGTCGCGGCTAGACTATACTCCCAGAGCACAGGAAGCAGCCAGGCTAGATTTAGGGCCTTCAATAGGCTCTCTTCCTCCTGGACTCGGAGACAAAGAGAGAGCTGGACAACCCCCGGCAGGGTTTATGTTTGGTGGTGCCCTGGGCACACGGGAGTACCAGGAAATGAAGAAGCGGATGCTCTAGCCAAGGAAGCCTGCAAACTAATCCCAAAATCACAACTACAGCCCTCATTAGCGCACCTAGAAAGGCAAGCTAAAGCAGCTGCCTTCCAAGCCTTTGCCAGAAAATGGCTATCCCAATGCCCTCGGCAATATGCCGACCTCGAGATAATTCTTCACCCCAAGCCGCCCGAACTCCGCCTCCCTCGGCACTTACTAGGAAGGCTATACGCAGCAAGATCCCATCATGGAGACTTTGCAGCATACCACGAGAGATTCGCTCATCAAGATGCGTTGCTTAACTGCAGCTGTGGGAAACCCAAGACACCAGTCCATTTCTACTTCTGCAAGCGTGGACGCAAGGCTACACCGCGCTACCTCCGCTAACGTATAGCCAAAGCAAGCATTGATTTCTTGTTAGGTTCTGCTAAGGGAGCCTCTCTTCTATGCGAATGGATAGAGGAGACCAATTTCTTTTCCGAAATTTGCCCGAGTCATTGAACAGGAACGTTAGGTGAAGACGGTAGCCTGTAATATAGTTTAGATTAGTATAGACCATGTCGGCATAGCGCCCGGCACGTCCTTTTGTTACCAGACGTTAAATACATCATCATCATCATCATCACTTGTCCTCTGCATACATGGTGCGCTGTAGCCGCCGCGAGCCTGCGGGGCAGGCCTTTTTCTTGGTCATGCATGTTGGGTCGTAACATCTAAGTACAACTCCTCCTTATCCTTCTTTATCTATATTAATATAAAGGCTTCTTCTCTTCAATTTCTATATATACCGCATTCAGGTAATTATCTATTAACGTCCTCTTTTTATTTCAATAATGTATTTTAGCTTAAGTCCTTAGTATGAAGTTTTTACCTTAGGGAGTGTCGGAACAGCAAGGCTGATAAGGAGCAATGGGCAGGTATCGTGGGCTGGCTGGCGCCTGCCCTGGGCGAAGTGGGACAACCGGCTTAGTCATCACGGCCGGTTAAGGTGGGGCAACCACCCAGGCCGTCCCCACCTACTTCGATCGGCCCCTGCCCACAATGTAAATAGGAAGAACAACAACAGCAATTATCACGGACATCGACGTGATTGTTGCCGAAGATACACCCTCATGAGGAAATATATCACGCCTGTGATACCAACAGTATGATTTGCGTGACATTTTGGCTTGAAACGTGCTTCGCGACATGATACAAGTACTTTACTCAGGCCGTCCATTGCCAGACAGAATAACATCTCGCAAGAGTAAAGCATGGTGAGTCTCGAAGACGTGCTTCACGATAAGAATTGCGATACGAATTGATCAACGCCAAAAGCACTTTCAGAAGTCCCAGTGTCCCAATTTCGAGATGCAGATAGCCACCTGCCTAGGTAGCATTGGGTAGGTGTTGTCGGTTCCCGATCTGTCGGCAATCTCTGCTATTTGAGGCTGGAAAGCTTGATTAGGTCTGCTGGTATCACTGCAACGTACAGATCCTAAGGGGTTTGTTAACCCCTCCAATCGGCATTGAGCAACAACATTCTCGTATGGTCGGGATATAGAGAGGGGCCGGAGGGCGGAAGGTCCATCATCGCATCCAGGCGCGGAATAGGAAGGTCGTGCAGTGGAGACCCGTGATCTAATTACAGGGACTTGTTGCCAAACCTTATTGCGGAAATCGCTGGATTCCTCGGCCTCCGATACTGTCAGGAAGGCACTTACTAAACTATTGTCAAAGAGCGCTTACTGGGGTAAGAACTCTTTTCAGTCGCCCAAGTTGGATGATTTGGTACAAAACTTCTGTATCAAAGTTTGAGAACTCTCTCACACGTCGAGATAAGGTAGAGCAAGTCAAGAAGCTATGCCTTGGACGTGCATGCGACCGTGACTACCTACGTTTTTAGTCCTGTGAAGTTCGATTGCGTGCGGCTCAGACTATCATCACTTTCTCCTCCCCTTTTCTCTGGTCAAATGGTCTGTCAGTGTAGCTACAGACTGGAACTCGGTCAAGTGTCAACCAACAGGGATGGAAGCTCACCATGTTTGATTTCAAGAAAATATGGTTGAAGGGACTGCTCGACTAAGAACTCGCGATGAGCGCTGGGACCATCAGATTTACCAACACTCTCGGAGATTCTCACGGGTAGCCAGAAGTCGGAATCTTGATGACGGGCTGTCAAGCATTTTAGTATAATAAAGACCACCACATTGTTGACTATTGTTGGTATTCCTCTCACAGGGAATTTGGTTCGAACCGTAGGGTCCTGGGGGTGACGAAGTATCAATATCTCTGTATTGATTGATTCTGCGTGAGGAGTAGAAGGGAGATTCCAACCGGAGGTTGGGTGGGTAGTCGAGGTCTAAGTGTACCCCCTCGAGGTGGCCCATGCTCTGCCCCTACTCGCGGCCGAATTGGACTTCCAATCCGACAACTATGGCTAATTGTTGGTCAAGAATCCATGTATGGATATGCGCATGGCTTAAGGCTCTGATTGGTCTGCAGTGCGTGCGGTGCAGCCGGTGCCACGTGGGGGCCGTTCCGCACGTGCCATCGCTGTTGCCTGCCGCGTCTGCGTGCTTACTTACCATTTGGACCCCTTCGCATGCCGTGGCCTCAAAGGCTCAGAACACTTTGAACCGTCGACAACGAGCTCATACCCAAACTGCTCTCTCTCAAACTACGAATACCTTGTCATGGCTATGGGAGGGGTCAGGTCTCATTTATTCAAGAGGTCACTCTATCATTGGACCTAATCACCGCCTGAGCGCAACCTCCAGTCACCCTGGCCATTGTAGGCCCTCCTGACTCATGGCTAATCCTGCCCCTCTTCCACAACCCTTAGAGAACCGGCCAAGGAGCGGGATCAGGCCAAAGAGGAGGCAAGTCGGCAGGGCGTGCGATGCTTGTCGCTTGCGTCGCATCAAATGCGACGATGCATCTCCTTGTACCAACTGCAGGGGTCGGGGCCAGCAGTGTAGCAATTCGGATGCATCGCGAACTTCGACCCTCTCTCAGGCCCATGAAGAGATAGATCGACTGAGGCTTAGAGTGTTGGACCTCGAACGAGAGCTCCAACGACAGCGAGAGGCGCATATCACTTCTGAATCTCCACCTTCAATACATTCACAGCAAGTAGTCGCCACCGTGGAAGCACCGGCAGCCATGAACATCGAAGGCCACTTCGTCACGCCAAACAACAAGCCTTGGGACGGTGCTCTGCTTCGACCTGCACGTTCGCCTCATGTCGCTTGGTTTGGACCTTCGTCTCTTTACTTCTTTATCCACCGCCTTGGCGTGTTCCTCAGTACCGATGTTGAACATGCTCAGCCAGACCATATGCTTCTCCGATCAACGGGCGGTAATAACGTGCTCGCTCAGGCAAAGACTACATCAGAAGACGCATCTCATTTGCTGAGACCACTGGTCAACGGCAATAAATCTGGTGTTTTCCTGAATCCGATTCAAGAAGAGTACTTCGTCAATCTGTTTTGGCAATCGTATCACACCTCTTTGTACGCCATTATCGATGAGGCTGAGTTTAAAAAAGAGTATCAAGCACTCTATCTGGACGTGCCTGTGGGGTATACTCGCAAGTCTTCGGCGCTAGTCGACATTGTTGTTGCCATGTGCATGCAGTATAGGGCCTCGAGTCTGCCATCTAGCCATCAAGGAAATATTGTTGAAGAAAACGATGCTACAACTGCCGGCCGGTGGCACTATCGAAGAGCACAGACTTTGCTAGCAGGAGAGATGGAAAGCCCTACCATCTCTACACTCCAGTGTCATCTTCTATCAGCTGTCTATGTCTGTGGCGCGTCATTTCATAACATGGCAGATAGCATTTGCGGTCAAGCTGTACGCACAGCCTACATGCTGGGTCTTCACATTGACCCTCCTCTTGTTTCAACAGAGAAAGAACGTCAAGTAAGACGTCGTCTTTGGTGGGCCGTCTATGTCTTGGATAGCAAAGTCGGGATGAAGCTGGGCCGCCCTTTTTTACTTCATGGCTCATTTTCCATGCCGCCTTTCCCCGATGACCAGCTTGGCGCTTCCGTGTTATCAGGATCTACATTCGCTCCCATCTCAGGGGACGCTACCTGGCTAAGTTTTAGCCTTCATCATCTCAAGTTGTTCAAAACGATGAGAGATGCTCATACTGCATTGTACAGTCACGACTTTGGCCTTGGTCAACACAAGACCATATGGGATGACCCCACATCATTAGCCAAGGTAGCCGAAAGCCTGGGACCTCATATCCAAGCGATAGAGAAATGGGTGCAGAACCTACCTGGGGCGCTCAAAACCAGTCGAGAAACCGATGGCTGTGTTCTTTCGACTGACGGCACGGCTCTCGTCATTGAGCAGTATGCCCCACTCTGGCTACAAAGACAACGCCTCCTCCTGGAAATGGAATATCACCACATGTCTGTCAACCTTTACCGACCCTTCATCTCGTTCAAAAGAGTTCCGGTGGCCGGGAGTCTTGTTGAGAGGCTCGCAGTGGAAAGCATCAACCACGCGATAGAGCTATCCAAGATTACCCAGCAAGCGTTGTCGTCCACAGCTATTCTCAATGGATGGCATGAAGCATTTCAGTGGCAATGGAATTCTGCCATAACATTGGCAGGATTCATTTTGGCCAATCCATGCCACGCTTCCGTGGAACCTGCGAGAAGTGCCATGGGATTGGCCTTGTCGGTTTTTCGTACATTTGGCCAAAGTTTCGAGCTGGCTACAAATGCTGAAACTGTTGTCCGAATGCTCTGTACGAAGATCGATGCCTTGATATCGGCATCTTCCCAGAGCTATGGTCATAAGGGACCAGCTGAATTATCTACGCTGCGTATGGATCCGGAGGTCGAGGTTTCCAACGGCTTTGCTTCTGAACTGGCCCATGAACCAACATCTCCCGAGCTCATGAATCAGTTTCCGGAGTTCGACTTCACGGAAATGGCGGTTGGCGTAGATTTCTGGGCCAACATTGACATGCTGGGAACAGGCGACATCGGCATATTTGGCGAGTCCTCTGTGTATTAGCTAGAATCTTGATGTTAAGCAAGGTAGTGGTCAACATTTTGATTCACGTGCAAACGATGCGCAGGCGATGATCCCAGTAATCAGTTCACGTCTTCCTTTTCGAGATGCTAATTCAGAAAATGGCTTACAGAACTCGTAAGCATTTGTCAAACATCCGACCAATTGGAGCATGTCCTCGGTCTGCTTACTCTGGTCCTTTTCTGGTCCTTTTCAGTCCACTAGGAGTTGCTCCGGTAGTGTAGACCAACGGACCAATCGCAGCAACTCCTCTTGGCGGGCAGTCAACGAGCCTCGTCTCTCTAAAAGACAATGGCATGAGTTGAGTATAAATACTTTCATCCAAATCGCCAACTATACACATTGAGTTCAACCACCCTACACTTCTCTCACAACTTCATGCTCAGTCGGATCAGACTTTAGCAGACTATAAGCTTCTTTGCCATCGATTTTCGCCTACCTTAGCCAAAAATCTCATTGCCGGACTCACCATGTCTTTGCCGCGCCGAGCTCTGATCAGCATCACTTCTGCTCATGGCACACTCTTCGGGGGAAAGGAAACCACTGGTCTCTTTATCAGCGAAGCGCTGCATCCTTACAACGTCTTGAGGGCCGCTGGTTTTGAAGTTGATCTCGCATCCGAAAGTGGTGCATACACCCCCGACTGGCTTTCAAGCCAGCCAGATTTTCTCCATGGCGAAGATCTGAAGATTTGGAATGATACCAAGAGCGAATTCCGCACGAAGCTCGACAACATGCCGAAAGCCGCCGACCTCGATGGTAACGCTTACGGGCTTTTCTACGCCTCTGCTGGCCATGCTGCCCTCATCGACTATCCGACGGCCTCTTCTCTTCAACGAATTGCAGCGCAAGTCTGGAAAAATGGGGGGGTCGTCTGTTCTGTTTGCCACGGGCCTGCACTTTTTGCCAATCTTATCGACCCTACCACCAATGAGCCTCTTGTTAAGAACAAGAGGATTACTGGGTTCACGACGGAAGCCGAAATCTCCATGGGTATTATGGATGAACTCAGAAGCTGGGGTGCCGAGATGGTGGAGGAGACTGCCACTCGACTTGGCGCGAAATGTAAGCAATTCTCTCTTCTCGCCCTTCTTATCCATTACTTGGTTGGTAGATCTCGTCTGATCTGACACAAAAAAATAGATGTGCGTGCCCCTGGTATCTGGGACGACTTCCACGTGGTTGACGGTCGCCTAGTGACAGGCCAGAACCCAGCCAGCGCTACATCCACTGCTCAAGCTGCCGTCCAGGTTTTCGACAGCGCCTGAAGGATACATGTATTGTTCTGAAATATCAGAGGACTATAGGGCAAAGATGACGTGTACTCAAATAAAATTTGAGTGAAGCGGATAGATTGCTATCGATACTCGGATCACGCAATCATTCTCAATCGCCTTGCCTTGAATCTCGGTGTGACATGTTTACAGTGTGATGCCGCTTACGACAGGCGCGCAAGAAGACGCTAAATTCAATCATCGTGGAGAGAGGGAACGGTTAATAGATACTTCAAATTGTTGTCGGGGGCTTCCTGGCAGCCTCAGCAGAAGGAGTAATTCCGGTTTGTGATGAGTGTGTGGCGGACTTGTTCAAATTTGCTTGTCGGCCACGGCTGTGTCAACTTCATGTTGCAACATGGAGGTATAGAGCTCAGAAGCCGCTGAAACGCTAGGAGGGGTTCCGAACGACCTAGAAGAAGTACGACCAACCATCGTGGTTTTGACGTACGAAGGCCACGTGAATCTAGAGTTGTTGGCCACTAATACACTGACGCCATTCTTGAAACAAATTTCGTGCGGGTTGGGTTCTGTCAACCAGTCCCTACGAGTATTCTCCAAACGCCTGGATTCGACCAATCCACAAGTCTCCGATGAAAAATCTATCTCCGATGACTAAGAACGGGATGACAAACTCCAGAAGCCCACTTAAACGTGTCATTGTCAGCGGCATGGGCGATCGGGTTGCCCCGGAATCACGGAGCTGCTGCACGCTTTGTAAGACGCCAAGCCGGAGTTGCGGAGTTGCCCACAGCATCGCAAATCAGTGCTCCGGCTGACTCGCCGCCGAGTCATAGTGGGCCTTCTCAAAAACAAGGAAACAAATCGAGTGATAGATGGTATTTAATGACGAAAGAAACCTCGCATTGGCTCCAGAGCTAGTTAGACATAGACCCTTTCAACAATTTCTCAAAAGCAAATTTGATTGAGTTTCCTCACAGCTCGTCAACGTATCCTACCTTCATTCAACACAGTAACACATCAACACCATCAGTCAACCAGTAGCTCAAATCATCGATTCATCATGGCAACCTCTCAAATTACGGAAAGCAAGCTCTTCAAGCCGTTGAAGCTTGGCAACACACAATTGGAGCATCGCATTGCCATGGCACCCTTGACCCGATACCGAAATGATGCAAGCCACGTGGCCAAATCTTTTGTCCCTCGTTATTACAGTGACAGAGCCTCGACTCCGGGTACTTTGATTATCTCCGAGGCCACCGGCACGTCAATGCCGGAGACAGGAGTGCCACACGGCCCGGCCTTTGTCACAGACGAGCAAGTCGCTGCTTGGGAAAAGGTCATCGCCGCAGTTCACGAAAAGAAAGGCGTGTGGTTTCAACAAATTTGGGCACAGGGACGAGCTGCAGACCCCGAGTACCAGAAGCAGCGCGGCTACCGGTTTCGATCCTCTAGCGCTGTGCCCATGGAACCTGGCGCAGCCGTCCCCGAAGAAATGACAGAAGAGGAGATTCTGCAAGTCATCCAAGACTTTGCGGACACTGCCAAGAGAGTTGTTGCCGCAGGCGGTGATGGTGTTGAAATCCATGGAGCCCATGGTTACCTTCTGGATCAGTTCCTCTCAGACTCCGTCAACAAGCGAACTGATAGATGGGGAGGCTCGATTGAAAATCGGGCTCGGCTTCTACTTGAAGTCGTTAAGGCAGTCGTTGAAGTTATCGGAGCTGAGAAAGTGGCTCTTCGACTCTCTCCGTATGCATCTTTTCAAGGCGCAGAGTCATCTGATATCCACGGACAGTACACTTACATTGTCACGGAACTCAAGAAGATGAACGTTCCTTTTGCCTATCTGTCACTCGTTGAGGCTCGAGGCGATCCTGCCAAGCTTTTGAACACTACGCATGATCCCAAGATTGTGCAACAGACCCTCGACTTTATCCTTGACATCTGGGATAACCTATCCCCTGTTGTTGTGGCCGGTGGCTATGGTCCCGAGAGCGCTGCCCAGGCACTGGAAGAGCACTACGCAAAGTGGGATATCATCGTTGCATTCGGAAGAAGCTTCATTGCAAACCCCGACCTTGTCTGGCGCTTCAAGCACGGCATTCCGCTTACGAAGTACCACCGCTTTTCGTTCTACATCAGAGGGTCCGAGATTGGGTACAACGATTACACATTTAGTCAGGAGTACATCGACGCACAGCGCGAATGGGCTTTGACACATTTGGCTTCGAACTCGAAGTAGCGCTAGGCTTGTCATTTTTGGGTTGTTTGTTCCGGGTAGAAAAGCTTTGAATTTAGAACAATATACTTAGAACGGTATCCTTGTTATCTTCACTGACAAAAGCATGTCTTTGACACTTTATCATGTGAGGAAATCGACTTCAAGTTTCCCTCTTAGACCCGTCGGGTAGTGTCATCTGTCTGCGTGGCCTGGTATCGTGTCTGAATTCCTCGATTCAACACTCCAAGTCTCAAGGTTTCAAATTTTCCCGTTGGAAATAGTTGTTACAAATAACAAGAGCCATCGAGCTGATTCATGCAGGCCTTACTCTCCAAGCATTTCTATATGATATTAGGCATGGACTAAAAAGAGTAGACTGAAGAAAACATGGGGAACTAGGTAAAGATCAATCCCCTCACATTTACTTCACTCGGTTCAGAATATATGGCTTATCACTTATTAGTTGGTAATTATGTTGCATGGGCATGCAAAGGGTGAATACCTAAGTTTAGAAGACACGAAGGTTCAACGCAAGGAGAAAGCTGTGTCCATCGAGTCCGGTCCATTTAAGAGACATGGAGCAGGAGACTCAACCCAGAACCAATCAGAGCACCAAGAAACACGGCCGAACCCGCCCGGAAATTTTCGATCACGGGCCCGAGCACCCTAGATGCCTAGCCAGTTTAGCACAGATGCCAAGATTGACTTGTCTCAATGATTCCAGCGGCAACAAACATGAGGACAAGACACTGTAATCTAGATGTGTGTTCTCGCACATTTCGGGGGTCGAAAATGTCCGTAATAAGGGGATTCTGGCCGGTGAGATCGACTTCTCGGTCAAGGTAAAGCCTAATCGCCGATTGGGATGCACCTCTCTGCATAGCGTGTCAGCGCCATCGCGTGGCTTCGTGGATCTATGACGAAACCATAGCTTGAGCTTGCCAGATGAGGCTCCTTGCTTGGAGAAGAAAAGATCTAGTGGTCTCCACTTGGCCGATATCTTACACCAGTGTCGCGCTGACGCGACCGACGTGGTCTGCTAGTACTTGGCTCTACGTCGTCATAGATCTCAACTGGATTAACGGTCGGCGGAAACAGATGACCGACGCCGCTAGTTTCCCACAATTAGAATCGAGTTTCGTTGCTCGCGTCCCCCTGAAGACATGAAAGATATTCTGGAACCGGCCTAGCGTTGACTGGCGTTTTGTTGGCATGTGGTTTCAATGAAAAGCAAATATCCGTCGGCTCACTAAGACAATATTATTTACCTACGGGTTCCCATCAACAGCGTCATTTCTGTCATGTTTTCTGCACCAGTATGTGCACTATAGCTACTTGATCACCATCGTCACGTTGCGGGATACCATAGTGTTGTAGCGACATTGAAAAGCTCTATCTGCTGTCGGGATACAATCAACACCATCATGGACGAGAAGCCCACGCCACGGGACACTGACGTCCCTGGCGGCTTCCCCGAGACGCCTAGTCTTGCCCCGACCAGTGGCCGTCCTACGCCGATGGCATTGTCCAGTCACGACCAGCACAACTATCAGAATGCCGCAAACACACAATCCAGTCAGATTACCCGGACCGGCACAAGTTACTTTGCCACGACATCGCGTGTCCGCGACGACACTTCTTCTTCTACTGTAACGCTTTCTGGCAACGGTGTTGCGGTTTCGGGTAGTCGCAGGGCTTCGCGAGTAGAAGATTTGTCGGAAAAGCATGTCCCAATCGATGATGATTCGACGCCATCCTCTCCCTCCGCAAACGCTCTATCGCCTACGGATAGTATGCATTTTGCGCCTCTCAAGACCCATGCCAGCAACACCAAACGGCCAGATGCCCGCAGACAAGGAAGCAATTTGACCGAAGATGACCTTTTCCGAGTGTTGTCTCGCCGTCGTACCAATGCTACGCACCAGTCAGATGCTGAGCAGGAAGAGGAGCAGCAAGAGGTTGAACGTCTCATGTCTCGGATATTTGGTCGAGCTCGACAAGAACAGAGTGAGGAAGAGAAAACACGGCATAGCGGAGTTGTTTTCCGCGATCTCACGGTCAAAGGTGTCGGTCTCGGGGCCAGCTTACAGCCCACGATTGGAGACATCTTCCTCGGATTCCCCCGAAAGATCAAGATGCTTTTCACTCGAGGGCCTAAGGCTGCATTCGCAAAGCCCCCGGTCAGGGAGCTCATCAGTCATTTCGATGGTTGTGTACGCCCTGGAGAGCTTCTTCTTGTTCTTGGTCGTCCAGGCTCAGGATGTAGCACTTTCCTCAAGGCATTCTGCAATCAAAGGGCAGGGTTCCAGGCTATTGAAGGAGATGTCACTTATGGAGGCGCCCCGGCTGAGGAGATGAGCAAAAGATTTCGCGGAGAAATCATCTACAACCCAGAAGACGACCTCCACTACCCAACCCTGACCGTCAAGAGAACCCTCAACTTCGCTCTTGAGACTCGAACCCCTGGCAAGGAATCAAGACTTGACGGAGAGAGCAGGAAGGACTACATCGAGGAGTTCATGCGAGTTGCCACGAAACTCTTTTGGATCGAGCATACCTTGGGCACCAAGGTTGGAAACGAGTATGTGAGAGGTGTATCGGGTGGCGAAAGAAAGCGTGTCAGTATCGCAGAAGCCATGATTACTCGCGCATCCGTTCAAGGGTGGGACAACTCAAGCAAAGGCCTCGATGCCAGTACTGCCGTGGAGTACGTCCGATCGATTCGGGCCATGACAAACATGGCAGAGATATCAACGGCCGTGTCGCTTTACCAAGCCGGCGAGTCTTTATATGATCTTGTCGACAAAGTGCTCCTCATCGACGAGGGCAAGTGTCTTTATTATGGACCCTCGGAATCCGCAAAGCAGTACTTCATTGACCTCGGCTTCGAGTGCCCAGACCGGTGGACAACTGCAGACTTCTTGACTTCGGTGACCGATGAGCATGAGCGCCATATTCGGGATGGCTACGAGTCCCGAATTCCAAGAACCCCCGAGGAGTTTGATTGGGCATATAGGAATAGCGAGGCCTACAGGAGAAACATCCAAGATGTGGAAGAGTTTGAGTCTCAGCTTGCACAGCAAATCGAGAGCCGCCGCCAGAACGAATCGAAGAAAACAGAGACCAAGAACTACGAGATTCCCTTCCACAAGCAGGTCATCTACTGCACCAAGCGCCAGTTCATGGTTATGGCCGGAGATCGAGCGTCCCTCTTTGGTAAGTGGGGCGGACTGGTGTTCCAAGGTCTTATCGTGGGCAGTTTGTTCTACAACCTTCCGAATACCGCTGCCGGAGCATTCCCCCGCGGAGGAACCTTGTTCTTCCTGCTTCTCTTCAACGCCTTACTAGCACTGGCCGAGCAATCCGCAGCATTCGAATCGAAACCCATCCTGCTCAAGCACAAGTCCTTCTCTTTCTACCGCCCAGCAGCTTTTGCCATTGCACAAACTGTAGTGGACGTGCCGCTCGTCTTCATCCAGGTTGTCCTCTTCAACATCATCATCTACTGGATGTCCAACCTTGCCAGGACTGCGTCACAGTTCTTCATCGCCACCCTCATTCTCTGGTTGGTTACCATGGTCACCTATGCTTTCTTCCGTGCAATCTCAGCTTGGTGCAAGACCTTGGACGATGCTACACGATTCACCGGCATATCTGTTCAGATCGTCATCGTTTACACAGGCTACCTTATCCCACCAACTTCGATGCGCCCCTGGTTTGGGTGGCTGCGATGGATCAACTGGATCCAGTACGGCTTCGAGTGTCTCATGTCTAATGAGTTTTACGACCGAGAGCTGCAATGCGTCCCGCCTTACCTCGTTCCTCAAGGACCCAACGCCTCGCCGGCGTACCAAGGCTGTGCGCTTGCTGGAAGCCCACCGGGTCAGACGATTGTACCCGGCTCCAGTTACATTGAAGCTTCATTCACGTATTCTCGTTCTCACCTATGGCGGAATTTCGGCTTCCTATGGGCCTTCTTCTTCGTCTTTGTAGTCCTCACAGCCTTGGGCATGGAGCACATGAAGCCGAACACTGGTGGCGGCGCTATTACCGTTTACAAGCGTGGGCAAGTCCCCAAGAAGGTGGAGAATAACATCGCCGCGGGCGGGCGTGGCAAGAAGGGTGATGAGGAATCAGGCGAAGCCAACAACAGTACGCAAACGATGACAGCCGACACTGCGAAGAAAGAGAAGAGCGACGAGGACACCATGAAGCAAGTAGCTCGGAATGAGACCGTCTTCACCTTCCGCAATGTCAAGTACGTTATACCTTTCGAGAAGGGAGAGCGCACGCTTCTGGATGATGTCCAAGGTTACGTCCGTCCTGGAAAACTCACTGCGCTCATGGGTGCCTCCGGTAAGTATTGATCTTTTCCCAGGAGTTGCTGTTTGCATTTTCTAATGACTCATAGGTGCTGGTAAGACGACTCTGCTGAATGCCCTGGCTCAACGCCTCACCTTTGGCAAAGTCACTGGGGAGTTCCTGGTCGATGCTCGACCACTGCCCAAGTCCTTCCAGAGAGCTACTGGCTATGCTGAGCAGATGGATGTGCATGAACCTTCGGCGACGGTTCGAGAAGCTCTTCAGTTCTCAGCGCTATTGCGCCAACCCCGAGAAGTATCTAAGAAGGAGAAGTTCGATTACTGTGAAACTATCATTGATCTCCTTGAGATGCGCGATATCGCCGGGGCAACAATTGGCAAAGTTGGCGAGGGCCTGAATGCCGAACAGCGAAAAAGACTCACCATTGGAGTAGAGCTGGCTTCGAAGCCTGAGCTCCTCATGTTCTTGGACGAGCCTACTTCTGGTTTGGATTCTGGAGCCGCTTTCAACATTGTCCGATTCTTGCGCAAGCTGGCAGACGCTGGTCAAGCCGTACTGTGCACCATTCACCAGCCGTCGGCCGTGTTGTTCGAGGAATTCGACGAGCTGTTACTTCTCAAGGCCGGCGGCCGAGTTGCGTACAATGGCCCGCTTGGTCAAGACAGCCAAGAACTGATTCAGTACTTTGAGTCAAACGGCGCTCACAAGTGCCCTCCGAGCAGCAATCCAGCCGAGTACATGCTGGAGGCAATCGGTGCCGGTGACCCGAACTACAAAGGCAAGGATTGGGGAGATGTCTGGGCGCAGTCGAAGCACATGGAACAGAGATCCCGAGACATTGACGAGATACTGGCCAAGAGGAAGGATGTCGAGCCCTCGAAGAGCCTCAAGGACGACCGTGAATACGCCATGCCATTAACGACTCAAACGGTGGCAGTGGTCAAGCGGTCGTTCACTGCCTACTGGCGCACGCCCAACTACATCGTCGGAAAGTTCATGTTACACATCTTGACAGGTCTATTCAACTGCTTCACCTTTTACAAGATCGGCTACGCATCCGTCGACTACCAGAACCGGCTCTTCTCAATCTTCATGACCCTGACGATTAGTCCCCCGCTCATCCAGCAATTGCAGCCCGTGTTCCTTCAATCCCGCCAGATTTTCCAGTCGCGCGAGAACAATGCAAAGATTTACAGCTGGTTTGCTTGGACGACAGCTGCCGTTCTCGTCGAGATTCCCTACGCTATTGTCGCCGGAGGCATCTACTTCAACTGCTGGTGGTGGGGCGTTTTCGGATGGCGTCTTCCCGGCTTCAACTCCGGCTTTGCATTCCTCTTGGTCATCCTTTTCGAGCTGTACTACGTGAGCTTTGGCCAGGCGATCGCCGCATTCGCCCCCAATGAGCTTCTCGCGTCTCTCTTGGTTCCCATCTTCTTCCTCTTCGTCGTCAGTTTCTGCGGTGTGGTTGTGCCCGCGGCCCAACTTCCTACGTTCTGGAGAGCTTGGATGTACTGGCTTACACCTTTCCACTACCTGCTGGAAGCCTTCCTCGGAGTCGCCATTCATGACCAGCCTGTCCAGTGCGAGTCCGGCGAGTTTGCCAGATACCAGCCGCCTCCCAACCTGTCCTGCGAAGACTACACCGCGCCTTATATCCAGCAGGCGGGTGGTTACGTTCAGACCGGAGATGGGGGTGTTTGCGAATTCTGCCAGTATGCGACGGGTGATGAATTCGGTGCAGGTTTCAGCGTTTACTACAGCAATATCTGGCGGGACTTTGGCATCTTCTGCGGGTTTATCGTCTTCAATTACGCCGTGGTCTATGTCGGAACCTGGCTCAGGTTCAAGGGGAAGAATCCCTTCAAGAAGATCATGATGAAAAAGGGCGGCAGTAATTAAATCTCATGTCAGTGTTTGGAGGTACACGACGAGAAGTAGATTTCAAGAGTAATCATAAGGTGTAATAGATTAGTAGAGTGTGTAATTGAAAGTTTTAGACTGCCATCACTATGATCCGTTGGTGGAATGAATCTCCGGCAACCCCGTTTCGCGTAGGACTCGCAATTTGGGGCTTACGCCTTAGCTTCGCCATGCTAAGTGGCTCTAGACATCACTCGTCGCATGACTATCGTGGATAGCTAGAGGGTCGGAAGGGCTTCTGACATTGTTTGAATTAAAACGCTGGTGTATAATGAGGGAATCTATGGAGTGAAGGAAGAACAACATTTTAATTGCAGCCAAATTGGCAGCCTTAGTTCTTGAAGTCGCCCTTTGTCAACTCATCCTCCAGGTCGTAGTAAACTTGGAACTCGCAGTAGCAAATCTCCGGGTCGCTCTCAACGTCAAAGTTGAACTGCGCCTCCTCATCCGTGATGGGAACCTTTGCCAAACCATTGGCGGCAGCCGCCTCGGCCAGGAGCTGCACGCGACAGCTGCGCTCCATGGAAGTGTACAGAAACGCGGCCTCGTCAACGGTGCGACCAACCGTCAATAGTCCGTGGTTTCGCAGAATGCACCCCTTGCCATTGGGACCCAAGGCCTCGGCAATCAGCTCACCCTCCTCGGGACCCAGAACGACACCGCCATAGCTATTGTAGACGCTGTGAGCATCGCCACGGAACTTGCAGGAGTCCTGGGTCAGCATCTCCAGCCTGCGTCCAAAGACTGACCAGGCCTTGCCGTGGATGCTGTGGTTGTGGCAGACGGCGTGAACGTCAGGGCGGGCCTTGTGCACGGCAGCGTGGATCAAGAAGCCAGCAGTGTTGGGAGGCTTGGTGCGGTTGCCGCCGATAACCTCACCGTCGAGGTTGACGAGGATCATGTCGCTGGCCTTGAGCAGACCAAAGTGCTTGCCGAGAGGGTTCGTCCAGAAGGCGTCGTGGTGCTCAGGGTCCCTGACGGAGATGTGGCCGCTCATGCCCTCGATGTAGTCCTCGCGGTACCAGTGGCGGAATGCGGCGGCCATGTGCTCGAGTTGCCATTGACGCTGGGAGGCGAAGTCGGGAAACTTGGGGATTCCGGCGAGAGCGACATCGCCGTGGGACATGGCCTGCAAAGGCGTCTTGTTGGCGAGCTCATGGCCATGCTTGGCGTGCGATACCTCCTTGGGGACGATGGCGGTGGCGCGGGCCTCGATGGACTCGGTGTCGCTAACAACGGCAGACGGAGCCATGGTGGGTCTTGTGATCGGTGCGCCGGTTTACGGAGTCTGAAGAAAAAAGGGTTCGGTGCGGAGAAATAAGCACACGTCTGCCAGGCCGTGGTTCTTTTGAGTGTATCTGTTTCGAGATGTGAGAGGCAGTGGCTGTATTCCGAAGAGTATTGGTGAGTCCAGGTGTATTACAGATAAAGTTGGTCTGGGGAAGTTCTACGGCCATAGAGATGGCCGATTGATAGGTAATACGCCACCTACGAAAGGCGGGAAATGTCATTCGGAAGATGTTACCCAGTGTTTGGCCGGAGCGGGGTTGCGGGTCATGATAAGGCACGACCGGGATCGCTCTTCAAAGTCAGGACCGGATACCGGAAACCGGGAAACCCGACCGGGCCGGTCCAAACTTCGGACGGCCGGACAAGGAATACACCGCATCATCCTGGGGTTTGGAAGGGGCCCCGCCTCCGCAATGGGCGGCTCAGTCGCCGATAAGAAAGGCATCTCCACGGGGACTGTAGGGCAAGTCTGAGGAGGCTGTCTGTGTCGTACTCATGATTTCGCGGCTTCGATATTCATGCTTGGTCAAACTTGGTTCAAGAGTTGAAGAGTGAGACGTGGTATGTTGAAAGAAAAACGTCGCGACAGGGTATGTTATAGCTAGTCCATGCAAATTCCATCCGCCCGTCATAAACCAAGAAAAACTCTCCTGTACAGCGACCGTCGTCGTCGTCACGCAAATGCTTTTATTTACCCGCGCGCAGCTCCCGACCGTCCGGTTCCGAACACGTCTCCGTTGCTTTCCTGGAGAATGGAGAGGAGGGTATTCCTGGCTCTGCTCAGCACATGTACCGGATGTCGCATTAGTTCGTCATTAAATAGCAGTAGTTTGCTCGCGTTTAGCAGTTGTCCGTATGTCATGTTCGTGCATCTACCGCTTGGCCTGCAATGCCTTATCCAGACACTGGATGATCTGACAAGAGTTAGCAAAAACTATGCCCAATCAGGCGGGATACAAGAAGACGAACCTCATCTCCCCAGACACCTTGGTTGCTCAGATAGCGACCCATACCTCTCACCAGCTCGAGCTGCTCCTCGACAGTCAAGCCAGTGACAGCCATTTCCATGACGTTGCCGAGATTGACTTTGTGAAGGGCGATGAAGGAATGGTAGTACATGTAGGTGAAGAAACCCATGATAAACTGGCAATCCATGCGATCCGTCATGCCGCCATGTCCCGGGATGGAGTCACCAAAGTCCTTGATCTTGAAAGTGCGCTTCAGGCCAGAAGCGAAGAAACCGCCAAAAGGTGCGATGAGAGAGGCGAAGGTGGCCAATACCAAAGTGTGCAGCTGCATGGGAGCCACGGTGAAGGAGAAGGTCTGGTGCATGTTGGGAGGCAGGAAGAACAGAGGAGGCAGGCTGTACGTCTTGGGAATGAAGACAGGGTTGCGAGTACACTCGAGACCAGTAAAGATGTTTGCGCCGAGATCCTGGGTCAATATTAGCACCTTGACGGCATCAATCTAGGAGTTGGGCAGATTACTCACATTGACGGGGCACAGGAAGAAATCGGAGCGCATCAAGACGTTGGTCAGAAGCATGCCAAATAAGATGGTGAAGGCCCAAGCGCCGACGAAACCCTCGACAGTCTTCTTGGGAGAGAGGGCGATGAGTTGAGTGCGACCAAAAGTGATGCCGCAAAGATAGGCCCAAATATCGTTGGTGATGACCATGGCGGCCGGGAGGAAGAACCAGATCATGCCCTCAAAGACGTTGTTCATGATGAAATGGGCCTGTACGACGATGAGGTACAGGGCCATATGCGTCCATGCGAACTGGGTGAATTGGAACTTGTAGTGACCGTTCTGGAGCGAAGTGACAAAGAAGACGAAGCCTAGAGAGGTTGAAAGTCAGCACATACTCGATGAACGGCATAAGACGGTTTGCTTCAGAAAACATACCAAAGATGTACAGGATGAAGCTGATGAAGCGGTGGTGGGTTGCCAAAGGCAGCAAAACCTTGTCAACCAAGACGATGTGCTTGAAGTAATAGATGACGCTCTCGCCGTAGAGGAAGTACATGGTGGTGGCCAGCCAGTACCAGTTGAGGCTCTTGGCGGAGCGCAGCTGGCGGGCGCGGCTGGGTACACTGGCGATGGCGATAACCTCCTTGAAGGAGATGATCTGGATAGCAGTCATGATGCAGATGATGTAAATGTGGCCCATGAAGAGAGCCGTGAAGAAGCCAGCAAACATGACAAAGGTCCAGAAGGTACGGGTCAGAAAGTTGGCCTTCTTCTTCTCGTAGGCGGCTCGCTTTTCCTCCTCGGGAGATTGAGGTTGCTGTGACAGGCGCATATGGTTAGCTATCTCCATGTTGCACGGGTCGCGGTGATGATCGCGTTCGCAGCCGTGGCAAGGCTGTACATGTACAGATGGTGATCTTGGATTTGGAGCTTACCTCTACAATGTTGTGCAGGGCTGCGCCAGATCTTTGCTTAGTGGGCGAACCATCTTCACTGACATCGCTGAAGCTGGAACGGCGCCCCTCACCATGACCGTTGGTCTTGTGAGGGAACTTGACGCCCCTCCGTGTGCGGGCCATCATATCTCTATTTGCGGTTCCGCAAGACTCGAGAGGACAAAAGCTTCCGGTGAGTCGGCCTCGGCGGGAGCTGCGAACCTAAGTGAGGCAGCTAGAGTCTCGCTGGTGGGAGGGAGGTCGAAGGTCGTGATAAATCGTCGCGAAGCAAAAGCGGGTGGTTCGGATGCGGCGATGGATGGAATAGTGGAAGCGGAGGGTCGGCGCAAATTAGACCGTTGGGTCGCAGGGGCAGGCGATGGAATGGCTTGTCGTCAAGTTGTCGAGACACGTCGGGGGAGCAGATTCTGGTCGAGTCCCAAGGCGTATTTGCGAGGGGTCGAGGTCGAAATCGCAGGGCGGTCGTGAGTGACGTTTTTGGCGAAGAGGATGGGAATTATCGGCGTGGATGGAGTTTTTGTTGAACCCGAGAGAGGGAACGTAAAGGCTGAGCAGAGAAGGACGGAATGGAAAGCGGGAAAGCACAAGCTGGCGCAGAATCACAAGTGGACCCACCTGGGCTCCTTCCAGCGCGACTGCGTGGTCCTGGACTCCTGGGGCGGGCAGCGGGCCCCTGCGGCTGTGTCCACGTCGATGGGACTCGGGGTGTCACGCCGCCTTGCTCCTTCTCCAATGTCTCTGGGACCGGGTGAACTTGCCCTCGAATGAAAAGAGAATATGAATAAGTGGTATCTTCGTTATTCCGTCTTTACTCTGAATTCTCTTCCTCTTTTTCTTTTTATCCTTTCTATTATTCTTCTTACTGATGAACAAGGTGCACCAGGAATTCAACTATCTTCAGAAGCTGCGGTGCCAGGGCAGCTGGTCTGGGCGAATGATGACGGTGCAAATTAGCGTAAAAGAGCTACGTCAGGCCTGCATTCTTGGCGGGGGAGGCCCTGGAGATGGGAATTGGAGTCCGCTCGCATTGCCTGCCCCCATTGCCCAACTTGTTCCCCCCGAGCGGAGATTATGTAATCCAGCTGGCCGGCAATACCGCACCTCAATGCTGAAAGTCTTGACGCCTCATTGGGCAAGTCGCTTCCGGTCTCCGGACTGCTGGTCATCTCCGTTGCGCTGCATGATCTCTCTCATTCTATTTCTTGAATGTTCTTTCTTCTCCGATGAAAATCTTTGTCATCTACTCCGTAGGTATCCAAAGGTGCTAAATTCGTATTTTACCTCAAGTCAGGCACGGGCAGGTGTAAGGTTCCATCCAATGCATACAAGGACCTTTTGCCTCTGAAAGCACAAGCTTCAAGGAGCCCCATGCACACGACGTATAGGTACCTTACGCGTATGTTTTGCAGGGCTCCGCTGGTAGAAGGACAAGAGCCCACCAAAACTGTTGAGTTGGTCAGCCAAGGGAACCCTGGAAGTGTGTTCTTAGACAATACAGAATACCTAGGTATTCGTACTACAGAGAAGGATGGCAGCATCAAATGATGCTTCAAGCTCGTGGCTCATATGGTGCTTGAGATTGGGCAAAAAAAGTCCGCCAGGGCTCCGTACTACTAAGACCGTCTCCGGCCAAGCCGAAATATCAATGTGGACGCAAGTTGACATCATTACATGCCGTCCTGTGGCTGGCCTCCTGTTTTTAACACAGCACGCTGCAAAGTCTGGCCAACGACAGCTCTCGTTAGGGTGAGGCGCGAGCTTTCGTCCGAGTTTACCAGCCACAATCACATGATGTGCCTAGAGTCGTGTGGCTTACCCTATGGACTCAAGTACGTACCTAAGGTGGCTTAATAAGTGGCTTGGTGTGGCTGACCGCGCGTCTCTCTCTCCAACGTCGCGTCTTCCATCCGTCGCGTTGAGGCCTGCGCTCCTCCAAACACTGATAAGATAAGGAAAGTCAGTGTTGCCTCATGTGGGCTGCCACTATTCCCAAGTCCAGAATTTCCCCTCAACCTCCCTGACAGGTTCCAGCGTTAATGGCTTCATGATTCACGATTCGACGCTACAAAGCGATCATGGACGAATTTCATGACGACGATTTCGATGAATTGAACGACACCACTCTCCAGGAGCTTGAAAACAATGCTATTCAATTCACACAAGCGCAAAGAAAACAAGACTCCCAGTCTCAGACTCTACCTCCCCCACATGACCCTTCCCAGGTCGAGAATTACGATGACCTCGAATTCGAAGATGACGACCTGGACGATGCCGAAGTCACCAACGAGCTTCTGCCTCCCGTCACTCGCCCTGCCGTAGACAAGACTATCTCTCAACAACAACTCCAACACCCACAGCCTCATACAGCCAGGCACCCGCCTCTTCCACCTCAACAGAGATGGAATCCTCCACCAGTGCATAATCCTCCGACCCTCTCCTCTCGGCCGCGATACCCACCCCCCGTGCCATCCTACAATGCCCCGGTAGCCTCGCAGCGATTCCAGTCCGCACACCATGCAGCTCCGTATCGACCTCCTCCGAGCCAATTTGCCCGACCAGCTCCTCCTTCGTCCACGCGCTTCAACCCTCCACAATCCCAGTCGCAGTTGCATGCGGCACCTGGCAACGATGTCGTTGCCGCACTGCAGCAACGACTCAGGGCCCTCGAGTCTGAGCTCAACTCTGCTCGCGGCGAGGCCTCAATAATACGAACAAATTCTACCAAAGCTGAACTGGACCACGCAGCCGAGGTTTCCCGCCTCAAAAAGCAGAATGCCGAACAAGCTGCGAAGCAAGAGAGGGCTGTGGAAGCTGCCATTGCTGCTGAAAGGCAGGCCACCACGGAGCTGCAATTTCTCCAAAGGGACATGAAGGATGCTTCAACCCGTCCTCGCCGCAGAGAAAACGTGCCAATGCCCGCCGCGCCAGGGACCACCACGCCTAAGAAGACTGTCAAAACTTGGGGTGTCGCGGATGGCTTCGATGACATGGACATTGCTCCAAGTCCGACCAAGACTAGAGGCAAATCCCGAGACACTGGCTCTGTTGCCATCCCATTGTCGGAGAGGACGCCCACCAAAGGCAAACGGAAACGGCCGCCAGTTGACAGTCCCGTCATGGCCTTGGAAACAGACGCCCAGGATATAATCATGATTGACGACCCTGGGATCGCCGCCATCGCAGTCCAACACCCAGGCCCGGCGCCTAACACTCTCCCCTTCGAGGTAATGCCCTCCCCATAACATGTATCGTCGAGGACTTTTTGGCTAATATTTACCGTCATAGTTTCTTCAAGTCATACTAGATCATGGCTCTTTGCATGGAGAACCACCGACTTTTGACATCTTGTCACGATACTCATACCCGTCTGACCCCAGCACGTCTTTTGCGTCCTTTATTTTCCAGCATCTTCCTCTCATGGGAACTCCGCTGAATCCGGTGCAGCTTCTGGTAGACTTTGCCCGTCTTATCATCCAGATGTGGAGCCAGTGTTTGAGCGAGACTTTCTTGCGACCTATTTGGGACCTGGCCTCGCTTCTTTCCTTCACTCTCCAGCTTCAGACCATGTCGGTGGTCCCGCAGGTCGTCAATGACTTGGTTCCCACTCTGCAACAATCTATCTTTTTGGTTGCAGAGGCTCGATTCATGAGCCAGGATGACGATGTCTCAGCCGGGGCTGACACAGAAGAAGCCCTGCAGCAGCATATCGATACCTCGTACATCCTGTCTCTACTAAACGCCTCTGCCGCAGCCTGCGCTACGACAATGTCCGAGGCTAACAGCGGTTCACAAACCAGACAAGCCGAATTTTGGCAACTGATCAATCTTGATTTGGTTCTCATCCTTCTCACACCAAAACAACGGCTGGACGACATCATTGGCATGCTTGATATGCTGTGCACCTCTACTCTCCCGGATTCCATTGGCCCCATCATCATAGGCAAAGACGCCGACGTAGCTGCTAGAATGATTATCGACAAGGTTTCTCTCAACCTGGTCGACTTACCCAGAGCAGTATCGTCTACAAGCCAGAAGCACGCTGTCAGATTCGCAGTCTTACGGACACTCATGGCCTTTGCCCGTACCCCGTATGGAGCACGACAGGTCGCGGGCCACGTCAGTGTCATACCCCGGTTAGTCACAGCTCTGGGCGAGCTTGTTGATGTTTTGTACGACCTTTCCGACTCCGTGGTGGATACCTCCAGTGGCGGTTTCTCCCCTTCACACAAGAACTTGGCCGTGGGTACTACCCCGGACGATGGCCGGAGTGGCGCCTCCTTATTGATATCTCAGATTATTCTGCTCCTCCATACCTTGGTGACAGATCCGCAGACAGCCAACGTCGCCAATATCCTCTCGAAGCTCTCCATGTCACACGGCGGCTCTCAACGGTACATCCTTTCGTTGTCACGACTTAACTTTGCGGAAGAAGATTTGGTCTACGAGCGCGCCATTGACGCGGATACTGTTGATCGAGCCCATGAGTTACTAGAAATTGCCGTGACCCCCGACGAGGGCGACAGTATCGCAGTGTCGTTTGGGGTTTGAACAATAAGCACCTCCCCTTTCAAAGGCGTATCCATTCTCCTAGTGCCCCAAGTGGCATTAGACTCTCTAGAATTCGCAGCAGACGGATGCCAGGACCCTGGGTTCCTCAAGGACAACGAATGCGGGTGTGCCAAGGGTGCCCTAATATCGTATTCGCCTTCGTTTAGTACGAAGACAACCAACAATTATATCATCACATCCGCCGTCACTGTCACATTAAACTAGTGCCGTTTTCCAGCTGGTCCTAGAGACTGAGGCGGCCAGCACACGATCGAGGCTTATGGAGAGTTGAGCAGTCTGTCGTCGCGATCTGATTTGCAGGATAGTCTCGAGACCGTCGGACTGATCATGAATCGACTTGAACCTTTTCCCGATTATGGAAACTCGGCCGAGAAAGATGAACCACAAGAATCACATTACTCTCAAGAGAGCCGTGCTCGGCTGTATGGAGAAGATCACATCCCCTTTGCGACTGGATGCAGTGAAAGCCACACCACGAGAGCTGCTCGGACCCCATGGACTAAGGATTACTCGATTCGGGTTTGCTGATCCCCAAGCTCTGCGATGGCGTCGAAACACATCGTCTACGGAGTACTTAGCTTTGTTCAGTTGAGCAGCGCTGACTAGAGATGGTGACTGGACGCGCTAGTCAGGCAAAGCCTTTGCTCTTGAGCTTAGCGCCTACCAGTCGTCGCCCAATTCAGCACGCGCCCCTGAGTCAAGAGGAAGCATCTCGTCCGATAAAGCAGCCACTGGGGGTCGTTCGTCCAAACCATGCCTGGGTCCGAGCCCGGTTCGTCCGAGCCCGGTTCGTCCGGTCTGGTGTAAAGGCGTGGGTCCAAGTCGAAGCTAGGATTTCAACAACAACAACAACAACAATAATACCACGTTCACTTTGGTGGACTTCAAGGCGGATCGGAGTCAAAGACCACCACTCGGCAAGACGAGCGGGGTGCATTGAGCATGGCATGTTTTTTTTTGGCAAGCGCCAGGAGTCGACCGTTAAACATTCATGTCGCACATGGCCGGTCAGGAACGGGTGGGCAGAAGCCACTTGTGCATCCCATAAGCTGAAGTCTCCGATGGAGGAACCCCTCCTGGAGCCCCCTCGCACCCCATCATGAACTGCATATATGATGTGACTTGATCGCACGTCCTCCCATGTAAATGTTGAAATCAAACTCTCTGTTACTTCTCTTCTCTACGTTGATGTGCTGCTGCTGATTCAGTCCAACACCGTCACGATGCATATTCTCTTCTTTTGCACCGCGCACAATTCGCTATCACAGCGTCTATACGTGGCACTCTCCAAGACACACACCGTCACCATCGAATATGCCCTCTCAGACGATGTCATGATCGAGGCGGCCAAGCTCGCCAAGCCTCATCTCATTATCTGCCCTTTCCTCACTGCCCGTGTGCCCAAAGAGATTTACGAAAACTATCTTACCCTCATCGTCCACCCTGGTCCCCCTGGAGATGCCGGTCCAAGTGCCTTGGACTGGGTGGTCATGGGTGATGATGGTACGGAGACCGACTCCGATGCCCTCATCCAGCAAGGCTCCTTGAGCGAGTCCGGCCGACCATACTGGGGTGTCACCGTTCTTCAGGCTGTCGAAGAGTTTGATGCCGGACCAGTATGGGCTTTCGAGCAGTTCCCTCTGCAAATTGACTCGCCAGCCGTCACGAAGTCGAGCCTTTATCGTGGTCCCGTTACACGAGCTGCACTTACAGCCACCCTTGCAGCCATTGAAAGAATCCAAACGGCATCTGTCCAAGCTGCTTCACCCTACACTCCTCCTCCGTCACCCGGGTTTGAGAAGTTCGCCCCGCACCATGTCACTCCGCTACTCCGAGCAAACCCTGCCTACCGCGACGCCTCTGTCACACTGCAGAAAGCCTTCCTCGGCGGAGTTACACGTCATCGGCCGCTTCTCAAGGCGGCCCAACGCGACTTCGACATTCAGTCACACACGGCTCGGGAAATATCACGGAGGATTCGATCCTCGGACTCTCAGCCAGGCTGTCTTACCAAGTTGTTTGGCCCAGGCCTATACGTTTATGGCGGCACTGTCGAGGAAGGCAATGACATCACCAGCCACACTGAGCCCGGCAAAGTGGTGGCTTGCCGGGACGATGCCGTTTGCGTTGCGACTTGCGACAAGAAAGCCATCTGGATTACCCACGTTCGCCGTGTCAAGAAGAAGACCGACACAATGCTGTGGCCCAAAGTCCCTGCTGTCTCCGGCCTGAGCGAGTTGGGCATCCTCGACAGCGACGCCATTACAGAAAACCGCATTTCTAGGGCAACCATCGACTGGTCCAGAGCCTCGCACGGCACCCAGCAGGACATATCAGTTGACTTCCAGACATTTGCCAATGCCAAGCGGGTTGCTTTCCTCTACTTCAACTTCTACAACGGCGCCATGAGCACGGATAAGTGCTCCCGCATGATTGACGCCCTTGACTTTATCGCATCCACTCATGTCGTGGAACGACCACTCAGCGCCATTGTGCTCATGGGGGGTGACGGGTACTTCAGTAACGGTGTTGCATTGAACGTTATCGAGGCTGCTGCGGACCCGGCGCTCGAGTCTTGGCTCAACATCAACCGCATTGATGACGTTGTGCACTACCTCCTTTACGATTTCCCATCACGCAACATTCTCACCGTTGCCGGCATCAGGGGCAACTGCGCAGCGGGCGGTGTCGCCATGGCTGCCGCATGCGACATTGTGCTTGCTGGCTCCGAGGTCGTCCTCAACCCAGCTTACCGTGCCATCGGCCTGCACGGTTCGGAATACCATTCCCTGTCCTACACCGGACGTTGTGGCCCAGCCGGAGCTACCAAGCTGCTGCGTGACATGACACCGCTATCACCAGCTGAAGCTCGGAGGATGGGCTTAGTTGACCACACTATCCCCGGCAACGGGGCGCTTCTCGAAACCCGCATGCGGAACCTCGTTAGGTCAATGGTCTCTTCCGAGAAGAAGCTAGCGCCGGGGCCTTGGAAGTGCAACGTGAACGTCATGCCCGCGGGCCTGGCGTCTGCTCGTGCTGAGGAGCTAGGACAGATGTCGAAAGACTTCTGGAGCGCCAGGTCGTCAAGATATCACCTTCGCCGTCGCGACTTTGTGCGCAAGGTGAAAGCGACCAAGACACCACTACGCTTTGCGACACATCGGCGAGGCACGGGAGAGCTCGACGAAGAGGAGACCAACGAATTTGACGATGTCACCGTCTATGAACGCAAGGCGAGGGCGGTACTGTTGGCTGACCAGCTGAAGGAGTACGTCGAGAGCATGGCCACGAAAGCTACACAGAAGGACGCGAGTGCTGAGAAGACTACGCGTCGCCATAAAGCTCCGATTGATATCGTGAGCAAACAGGAGGTGACGCAGGATCTGAAGCCTATGTACTCGTGCTACTACGACGTGACCGGAACGTTAGGATTCTCATGAAGGGCTGTCTGATTTAGCTAAGGGGCTGGCGTTTCTATCATGCTTAACTATTCTCATCCAATTTGTCATTCAACATATAATATCTTTTGCGACGACTTACATGGTTTCGTCTGTACAAATAATAACATATTCACTTGTACGACTGAGGAACAGAAAGCTGTTCTCCCCAGTACCTTGCCTTCGGTTTACCTCGCATGCAGCTTGCTGAACGATGCCATTACATGCAACCATCACGAACACCATCTAGAATCATCACCAGGTATGGCATGCTGATTCAAGTGACTGGCTGAATTTTAGAATTCTAGTCAAGCCCCTATCACTTCTCAAACGCTAACACAAAAGTTCCCGAACGGTCTAAAGCTCGCTCTCATTCTGTTGGTGGAGTCCCATTTAAGGCTGAACTAGTAGTCGTTTCGATCTAGCGACCGTTCAAGTGCCAAAAGTTCTCCTCTGAATCGCTAATTTGTCAATGTTCTCGAGCAAACCAACATCTTCCAGTCGCAGAGGTAGGTCTCGAAATCATCCGATTCTCTCGTGGAACGGCCCAGGCCTTTGGTCCTGGGACGAACGCTATTACTTTCGTTACCGAGTCCACGGCTTTAAGGTCGGTCATACGATAGGCTACATTTCACACCGTTCAGGTCATCGAGCCCGACATGGTGGGGTCAGCTACCGAAAAATGGCAGCACGCGGGTGCCGGATCCGGGTGGCAGTGGGATGCCATGCCGAATAGGAGCCATTTTGTTAATCATTGTCGCGAGTCACTAGCTATTGAAGTCTTTCAAAATTCGAAGAGGGCCGGCGTTTACTTGGAGGGGCTCGCAAACGCTTCCTCTCTTGGGTAATTTTCGCAAGAAGACCTCCGAGTCTGCCCCTCGTGTACTTGCTTCCAAGCTGTTAGCGTGTCGCTCTGAGATCGTCTCTATCCTGTCACCCACGTGTCTAGCCGAACAAGCATAATTAATGATCCAAATGTGAGATTTCTGTGATGTATAAGTTTCAAGCACACGAATTTTCCGGTCTATGCATGTATCAGATCATTGGTCCCAAAGACGGCGAATCGATATCTATTCAACGTGGCCACAAACTGGCGTTGATGCAGGTGAACCGCTCAATGAATGCAGGCTGCAAACAGTACGCCCCATGTTTCCCAGAGTTTCTGTGTCACAAAATGTGAGAGAACTGATATCTGACTCGTTTTTGTTCTTTCCCTCTCTGAAATCTCGTGATACTAGGCAACCAACCCCTCTTGTTACCAACACACCAAGTACTCGGCGCGTACCCCACCTCGTATTACAGCCATTCACAAGGAACAATGCTCGAACCATCTTCCCATGAGACCATGTATCAATGTCTGGGGCCAACGTAGAATCTCCATCTTTTGCTGATCTTGGGTTGTTTTCGTTTCTCTTGTGGCACCACCCGAAGCGGGCCGCATATCATACATGTGCTCAGCAGAGCTCACCTTCTGGAGAGCGGCAGTATTGCAACCTAATACACAAGAGATTTCAATAGATTCGTCTGCCGAGTTTTCTTTCGCGGAACATATGCAGACTACGTTATTTCAAAACTGGCAGCAACCTGTAAGAACTCGTCAGCCCTTTCGAACGCAAGATTCAGTAAAGTTACTCACCACCTACTTATAATCACAATTTGCCTTGCTATTGTTTCGAACCTCTGCGGCGTACCGTTAGAAACGTCAAGGAAAGGGGTCTCTTCGGGGCTGACTTGGTCTATGTGTGTGCGGGTCTTCAATCTGCCGGAACCTCCAACTAATACGTGGTATTCTCAAGGCCACTACAGACTGCAGAAAATATGGCATTCGAAGGAGAGTCTAGTGGCCGTTATGGGAAGGCTACAAGATACAGCCGCATCGACATTGATAACATGGTGATCGTAGGATAGTGTTTCGGAGGTCTAGAACGTGGCTAGCTTTGGTCCTCAAAGCCGACACTACCGGGACAGTCGTTGACAACATAGTTACTATTCCCGTCTCTGAGTCGTTCTGAGTCGTCGACGGCAGGTCGAGAGATCGATCCAGGCTTTCCAGGGATTAGGAAGCCACATTTCTTGAATAGTCGCTGCCTTTAGGGGCCGATCCGCGCTTCGCTCACGTCCCTGGTTCTTGCTAAATATAATAGGGTGGATCGAGCTCTTGGAAGCATAGCAACCAGGCGATATTATGAAAAGACGGAGGACATGGCCCGCAGATTGGACGCACAAACCCCGTATCCCGTCGTGCCCGTCAAGCCCACGAATGCTCCCGTTCCACGGAGCAGCCACAAAAAGCCTCGACAGAGCCACATATGAAACGCCGAACGGGCTAGCCGGATGACACCAAGCCCAGATCGTTCTTTTAATGTTTTCGAATCGGTCCTCATGACATCATCAACAAAACGTGTGAAACTGTCTTTCAGTCCCTGGTTCAATGGAGCCAGCGGCCGCCAGTCATGTCGCGATTCATTATCTTGAAGGTGTAAATCATGGCGCTAAGAGACCAAGCTTTGCGGAGATCCCACACCACCCGCATCACAGAACGCGGCATGCAGATCCGGATGTGGGGGCTGGAATATGGGAAAGCCAATTGGGACTTTGTTGCTTATCTGAATGGATCGCCGGAATGTCTTCAGGCTTCAAGTTCAATGAGGACGATCTGGGGTATCATGGAGGATAAGTACAGGCAGGCCCCGCAACTCGCCTGGGATGGCGCGATGTCAAACCTGACTCCCCACAATCAAGACTCACATCAAAAGTACCTACGATGAATGAATTGAACATCAAGAGCGGTCGGCGAGTGTCATTTGGGAGAGGCGGGGCTGGCAACATACGTGAGCTTCTCCTCGTTCGTGATGACCATCACCCATGGCTGACATGCACCAACCCAGGTCATTACGCAGATGCCAGACTGGTTGAGGAGGAGCCATCTGTTGCAGTGCGTCGGCGAAGCAGTGTTTGGAGTACTTCCTCATCAGACTCATCACACAGAGGGTTAAGTCTCGTTCACAGCGTACGAGATGTATTCAGGAGGAAATCATTAGACGACACACCCGAAGAACCTCTGACCGATGGAACTAGGAGGAAAAGCACACATTGATCAGCTGCGGATGAAGGATCGAGCTGTCAACTGTGAGATGCCCCCGGAGACTCAATGGATTATGGATTGAGTGAGGTTGGATATTTGATCGCGATGAAAGCGGTGGTATTCTTGTAGACATTTACTATTGGTTTTTGACAAGGAAGCTCTCGTCGGCCTGATAGAGTCAATTTCGCAAAGAGGGCTATGACTGTATATATACACGAGCAGGAGAGCATCTTTCAGAACATTCCCCGCGTACAACCTAATGTAACAATATTTGAGACGCGTCTCATTTACACGATGCGACATGGAGACAACTTGGCCCGCAGTCCGCTTTCAACACCCTGGGAGTCCGGTCACGGTGTCTGCCAAAGTCCACCGGCCTGTACAGCTAGTAGTCGTTACATTCCCAGCAGCTAGATCAAAGTTCTGGAAATTAATGTCGTGACACGGGAACCTTTGACTACAAGTCAGGCTGACTCGGTTCGTCGTGCCGGATAGCGTCCCGGTGATATTGGCGAAGACAACATTTGATATCTCCATGTTGCTCGTACCGGCATATGACCCATTGTCGCCATTGGTTTGGTAAATGGAAGGGGCATGATTCACCCTATCGTAGCGAACATTTGAGAAGAAAGCGTTGCGAATTCGGCCCCAACCGCCGCCGCGGGGTTCTCCTGCGCTCTCGTAGTTGTCTTGAGGCACGAGTTCTCCGATCCACGTTTTGAGATAGATCCCGTAGCGCAAATCGACCGGCCCACGTTTGAGCTGACACTTCTCGTTTAGTCATGCGTCTTTAAGAAGGCTTTGGTAGGTCGGTCTCACCAGTAAATCGTCCATAACAATATCTTCTACGCTGCAGTCCTCGAGGTACTGACCCAAGCTTCCAATCGCAATACCGTTGCCACCGTTGCAGATGACGCCTTCCAAGGTAACATTGTACGATCGGGGCTTGATGGCAACGCAGTCATCTCCGCCGGTGTAATTGAAGCCCTTGACGCGAACATTATGTACATCCATTGTGTCTACAAATTTCTCGTTAGTAGTAGATTCAGCTGACCTCGGCAGGATCGCTGCTTACCAAAACCATCTGTGTTTTGAACCCAGTTGTATCGAGATGGTGCTTTTGTAGAAGTAGCATTGACAGAGATATTCTCGAAGTACATATCCGTTCCGTTCATGATGTTGTAGGCCCAAAATTGGGGCTGTTTTATGTAAAAGTTCTTGACTGTCACATCACTGACGTTCCAAAGAACGAATGGCTATGCCGAATGACATCAGCTTAGTATCCAAAAATGAGCATGCAAGAAGGCATATTAATACCATGGGACGGCCTTCAACTGTGGCACCCTTTTCGGCGGTATACCATGCGTCCCCGTTTCCGTGGATACCGCCAGTTCCATAACCATTGATACGAATCCCATCACCAGAGAGCACGAAGCCAGCACGGTGGTTTTGGTAGAAGATGAAATAGCCATCGGATCTCCAGAAAGTGATGTTGTCAGAGAACTGCCAAGGTCAGCGTCCGGTAAGGAAACCATTCTCGGACTGGAGGTGCTTTCTTCTTACAGTCCATTCTCCCCGCCATTGAATATCCACGTCATGGACGAGGGGGTTAAGCTTTCTATCGATCCAGTAGTTCTCGCCTTCGGGGAATATGACGATTCCAGATGTGCCACAAACAGTAAAAGCTTCCAATATGTTGTCCACGTCGCTAACCTTGTCGCCATTGGCGGTCACTGTGCATTGTGGCCGCCCCTGAGCATCAGCAACTGCAACTCCAGCGGCGTTTGCGACATTGAGGAATCCATAGAAGATGAGGAGGAGAAAGGCAATAATAGTCTTTGGGCTGAATGACGCCATGTTCAAGAGTATGAGGTTCTTTTGGTTTCTTTATGAGTTATGCAACGATAACATCAATGAGTTGATCATTGAGTAGTATCACAAAGCGAGGTAGCAAGTGGAAGACTTGTATGGTAGAAAGTGGCTTGATTCCTCTAAGTGGAAGACCCGTATGAGGGTCCTATCTATATACCGTACAAGACGGGTAATCGGCTTGTGGAAAGCGGTATCGTACGGCAGTAACCGGCAGCGCCACGTGTGGCGCTGCGACAAGTAGGCTTTATATCATGTTGATCCCTTGCTTGTAGTGCTTCATCGACGATTCACCCCCAATTGTCTTCAGCTGCAATGGACTCACTACGGTGCCCATCTCGTCATTGATGATGCCCCGAAGTATAAGCATTACCCCTAAATCACGTAGACGGCGCTTGATCCCGCAGAAAGCTCGTCAACGAATTCCGCGAAATGCCATTCAGAAAATGGCACAACATCAACATCGGGCGAAGGCCGCATATCTCGGACAAAAGAATAAATATGCACCAATCCCGTCACATACTTGGCAGAACTTGAGCTTTCCTTCTGTCCGATGTCCCCAAGCCTACCTACCTAATACTGACAGGCCAGCTAGCCCGGCTGCTGATCACTTTCCCGCGACCCCGCATGTTGAGCACAACTTGATTCAAATGAGCCCCGGTCGCCGGGATATAGGTTCCGCTCGGTATAGCTTGTGACGACAGCGTAAGCCATCAAGAATTTGACTGTCTACCTGCGTAGGCCAACTTTCGAAGTAACAACAGACCTTAATTAGATCTGTAAAGGAGAATTGCCCGAGAACCTGTTCGAAAGTATTCTTTTTTCTGAAGAGCGTTTGAGAGTTTATTTATTGCCAGGTTTCCTGACTCTATATTTTGAATCAGTTTTCCGGGGCAGCTGAGCTATGCACCGCTGGATATTTGACTGAGGCGCTGACTCTGCGTTTAATGCATTAATTTTCACTAATGGAGATAGAGCGTAATGTAGTCCTCCTCTATAGACTGGCCTTCCTTGCACAATTATCGGTCTCTGAAAGTGTGAGATGCGCGAAATATCTTCTAATTGTAAAGTACCTAAGATGACAAGACCTAGGTCGCTCGCATGGGATCATGCAGACGAATCAGGCGGACAAGACACCTGGCTCTAGTGAAATAGGGCACATGTATTACGGCTGAAACATGTAACGCAGTAATTTAGCTTTGGAAAAGCTTTAGAATAACTCTTTCACAAGGATATGCCGTTTTGATGTTTCCTTGAAATTTGCACTCACGGAGCCTGGTGCTCAATTGCACACTTTTGAGTAACAGCTTAGGAAACTAACGCTATGGATTCCAGCTCGGATGATCTCAGTCAAATTGTCTCTCATGATATCGACCTGATAGACATCAAAGATCCACAGAGAAACATTTCCCCAGATGCTTCAGCCCTTGAGGCTCCCCTCCGTGGTCAACGAGTTATGGCGTCAACGCACTCTTTTCAGCTTGGCATATCTGAATCCAAATCTGAGCTGAATGTTCGTGCAATTGACAGCCGTTCTCATAGTCATTTCTGGCCCGATAGTCGTGCATGGACTCTATCATGACCTTGTAGCTGAGTCCATTCTTGCTTGTGGGGGCAGCTCACGGCGAGTTGCGGATCCGAAGGCCGACATCGTATTTTGATGTCGAGCTGATCGGGCCGTTTCCCCATCAGACAGGAAAGTCTAGATATGCGGCATAAGTTGGAGTGTTCCTCCTCCCGCTCTTACAGATTCCCGAGCGCAAGTTGTTCATGCGCACTTGAAAGTACATTGCGGTATTAAGTAGGATGATGTCATTCCACCACATAATGTTTCCTCTCGTGGAGCTGCTGTATCCGACGGTCTCAGTGAAAAAATGAGGTTGATCAATATTGATACAACATGACTGGACCCTGTGGGTAAGTCAAGGTTAACCTTGAATCCAAATTTAACTGAAGGGGGGCTCGGATCATGGCTTATTTACGCTTTAGGAGCACTTACCCACACACATGCCGTTTTGGACAGGTCCCCGTTGAAAGTTCCGATTTTCTCTCGTTACGACTCAGTCTAGCGGCTGATACTTGGTTTATTCCAAGGTGAGTTGTGTTCCGAGGCACCGAGAGCTCTGTCGAATCAAGCATGATAACTTCCTGAATCTTCAATCAGATCTAGATGACACGCGGGCTCAAAAACATAACTAGATAGAAGTATCAGAAATAAGTTCGTAAACTACATCATGCCCACTACATTATGCCCACTACTAAGTCTTTGCCGCTGAAACCTCAGTAACTAGATTGAAGGGCATAGCACACATGGTCTCATGGCTTTACAACGGAACTGTGTAAGAGAGGAAGGTGAAGCAGAAGGCTAATAAGAGCTTCCATGCCTCGGCCCTTACTCAGAAAGGCGTAATGATCCGAATCCCCGCCCAAGACGAGAAAGTGTGTTTAGCTTCCCGATTCAACGGGTCCATTGACGATGGGAAAAATCCTAGATAAGGTAGATAACTTCTATTGTGACATTGGGAGACCCCATTATAGCATCATTCAGGTGAAGCAGATCTACTCACAGATCCACCCTCAGAGACCCTTACGAAGACCCGAAACAAAGCCGAATGGTGTCTCTCGTGAGAATACTTTTGGCCACGATAGTTGCAGGAACGCAACTTAGCTCTTTCGGGCCGTCTGTTTACATGGTCCACAGTCTACCTCTTTGAGAGAATGCGATCATACGATACAGACTGGTAGCTAAGGATATCGAGCTATCTCGTATCTTAGCTAAGTCCGTCAGGGCCGCGGGACCGCGCTGAGTTTGAGAGGCTTTTCGACTCGTAGCCGATGAGATACAGAGGAAAAAGACATCTCGAGCATCTCAATGTCTTTATAAAAGGCCTGCTACAACTCGCCTTGAAATCCAGCAGTATTCCATCTGCAGACACTAATCAGTTTCTTCATCCAACCTTACCTGAATACTTGTCAACCAACTCTGATCGTACAAATACCGGTACCTGGATCCCAAGATGCAACCCGCCACTATTCTCTCTCTTCTCGCTCTTGTTGGCAGTGGTCTTTGTGACTGGCCTGCTCCGGGAACTGTCGCTCACGACTCACTCAATCCGGTGGTCGACACTCTCGGTCCCAATGGAAACGTCATCAAGAAGTTTCAGCCGCTGCTTCACATTGCCCATGGCTGTCAGCCTTACCCCGCTGTGAACAAGAACAACCAGATCAGGTAAGTATTTGATCAGGATTTGCGTTTTTCCAGACATACTGACGTGAGGGGAAGCGGCGGCTTACAGGATACTGGTACCACCTCGGGAGGATGCAAGAACGGCAACAAAGGGCAGACCTACGCCCATTCCATGTCCCTGAATGGGAAGTTCGGAATCATGTATGCTTGGTACTGGCCCAAGGACCAGCCAGCCGACGGCAACGTCGTGGGCGGTCACCGTCACGACTGGGAGACTTCGGTCGTCTGGCTTGATTCTGCTTCGGTCAATCCTGCTACCATCACGGGTGGCGCTTGCTCTGGACATGGCAAGTTCAAGTTGAAGAGCAACCCTCAAAGGAACAGCAATAACGTCAAAGTCGAGTATTACACCCAAGGTGGTTTGGACCATGAGCTGCAGTTTACGAACACCGTGGGTCGAACATACTGGATCTGGGATTGGGATGCCATGGAACCTATCGTCAAAAGCGCTCTGAATAAGGGGGACTTCAAGAAAGCGAACTGTCCTTTCAACGACAACCACTTTGAAATCAACATGCGGGCCGCCTACGTCTAAGCATGTCGGCGTTGCTGGAGATTAGGGCATTAGAAGGACTAGCCAACATCAGTCACTTGGGAATTTGAGCTATTCACAGTTCGAAGTAGCTCGGATACCTTACAATACACTCTGAAGTCACTCTCAACATCTTATTCACTACTTAATTGACGCACGTCGAAACGACGGCTCGTGCAAATAAATGCCTTGATACTCCCGGTTACGAGTCGTTGATTTTGCCCTTTTCAACAGATTTATTTAAAATTTGTTGCCACTGACGAGATAAGCCAACGCTTGCGGTCATCAAACGTTACGGAGGATTCAGCATTAACTGCCATGAATTTCAGATTTGATATCTATAATTAAATCATTCCAGATGACATGTGTCATCCAACCCTACCATCGATCAGTGTCTCAGCTGCTCACGTCGCCTTGTCACTAAGCCCCTCTTGTTCTTTGGCTCAACTCTCAACTTTACTTTCAGTTATTATGTTTGGCAAGGACGGAAATCTACCAAAGCTGGCAATAGAATTCTCTGAAGCAAGGATCACACCCAAGTTTTTGGGGGAAGACTGAGCCCCAGTTCCGGCTCGGTTTCTCGTTTGAGACCCGTTCACAGACCTTATTCCTAGCTACCACGTGGGGTATGTATGCTGACACAGCAAAGTTAAAAGATCAGATCTGAAACCTTCCGGGAGGTCATATTGACGCATGACATCAGGGAATTGAATGACCTGCCAAATACTGTTCCGTATCTTACCTCCATGTCGTTATCTTCAAACCCATACGAGACCTACGTCTCCAAGCCAACATGTCCATTCGCCGCGAAATCGATAAAGACGGAGATCTCATTCTTGTGCTGAGCCGGCTGGGTGTAGACGATTCCGATGTTGCCGAAGTTGGCGAAGACGATGTAGACGCCGACGCAAAGCTACTGGAATACGAACAGTTGCAGAACAAAGAAGTGAGAGTATCTTCGAAGGTCCTCATGTTGAACTCGCCAGTCTTCAAAGCGATGCTAGGCGGGAAGTTTAAAGAAAGCGCGGAACTGGTCAAGAGCGCCGGACTCTCTCTTCCTTACAGTCTTGATCTCCCGGATGACGATACCGAAGCCATGTCTATCTTGAGCCAGATTCTTCACAACGCCTACGTTACCGAGAGACCAAAGCCGATTGGCCTTGCGAGGCTAGCTTTCGTGAGCGACAAGTATGAATGCACCGGGGCACTCAAGTACTGCGGGATGGTATGGATCAGGGATTGGCTCTCGGATTACGACGAGAATGTGCCGCCAATGTTCGATCTTTGTCACCTCTTGGTCTTCTCATACGTGATAGACCTTCCTCTTGAATTTTCGGAATTGTCTTGGAGAATCTTTCTGCACCACGAAGGGCCAATTTTGCGAACCTCGGAGCAAGTCAGGGTTTTAGCAGACCATCCTCTGCTGAGGCATGATATCATTCGTAAGTCAAGTCATTAACAAGGCTCGTGGCATCTCATCTTGACGCTGATCATTTAGAATGTCTGGAGGTCAAAAGACACGAATGCTGCAACACATTCTACAGGGGTCTTGTCAGTCCTATGACATGGACGTGGGACATTTCTCAAAACCCATGCGTGAGATCCGCCAAAGCACTCGCGTCATACATCGAGACTCTTCGAAAGTCCAACATTCTGCCAAAGGATCTCGATTTCGCGACTCACAAGTTCTGTAATCTATTGAATACGGCAGTTGATCTACCCAAGATCACCATGATGGATTTCTCGTGTATAAGGGAGGTTGGAGTTTGTGGCTGTCGTTCGAATAAGTACGCTAACCGTAACTTGTCGCATGAAGTCGAAAAGGAGGCAGACAAAATCATCCAGCAAAGACGGGTGTTCAATTGCCTGGATTGTCTGAAAAGTGAAGGTACATCTGGGAAGCAGAGATCATGTCGCATCCCTCATTCTTCACAATAGAGAAGCTGATCTAAGCCCGTGAAGAATGGAACTAAGTAGAAGGAGCACCAAATGATGGATAAGATTCTCGCCAGGAGATGTAGGGTGATGGACATCACAAGAATCTCGAACATAACAAATCTGCATTCAGAATGATTTAGACCACTCATGTAACTGTCATTAATTACTACTTTCAACCTGCGGCTAAGTCAAGGTTGATTTCCCTCGGTTAGGGTATTATTGTCTACATCGGCACTTTGCTTGTTAAGCTCAGCTGTGAATTAAACCCCAAGTAACAAACAGCATCTTCTGGTCGTTGTAACACTGCACAGTCCCTTGCAGCCCCAGCTTCCCGTTCTGTGCCATGACACCATATCTCGTCGTGTAGAAACGGATGTCGTTCGTGCCAACGTTCATAGGGCTAGCCGCGCTGCCAGAGTCGGCATATCTGACGGCAAAGCTGCATGTTCCCGAGCTCACTATAGTAGCCCATCCGTTGGAAGAGAAGTCCCCAGGTTGCAAAGTCCAAAATCCATTCTGGCCACTGAGAGAGCTCGCAAGCGCCTGGCAGTCTGCTGCCAAAGGCGCGGAAGCTGAAAAGTCCGTCGATGGGTCCTCGGCCAGCTCTCCACACCACTCGTCTCTGCCGGAAGAGAAGGGAAACCGTTTTGATAAGCGGACTGGCCGTGTGCCTTCTGATCCTTGGGTGAATTTGATGTTGCGGTTCATGCGTATCGTTGAAGTAGTGCCGTCGGCGTTGGCGAACGTGCGAGGGACCATGCTTTCAGAATCCTGTACCGATGCATTTGCTACTGAGAGCAAGCCAAAGGTGACGAGGCCAAGTACGGACTTGGCTGAGATGTGCATTGTGATTTAATTGGTTTGGTCAATGTTTTACGTGGCGACGTTTTGTGTTAGATGTTCGTTGGGAGTAAGTAGTTGGATCTTGGTCTTGGTTCGGGTATTGTCTGAGAAGGTTATTGAAGCAGCAGTGAGAATTGATTGGCGATATCCCAAAGATTGAAGCAAGGGAAAACAACATGGGAAGGGGATCTTTTATATAAACATCATGACTAGCAAACAACTGCCCCAATTGACAAAGACAAATGAAGTGAAGGGATGGGTTGCGCCGAATCACTGCGTGTGATTCATTCCCTGCAACTTGATGTTTGCTGCCAATGGCCGTGCCGCAGGCACTGACTGAATCAGTCGAGCTTACGAGAAATCAGCTCCGTGATGAGCGCGGGGTCCGAAAATGCCAAGTGATTCGCTATGAGATGTTTGCAAGGCCATGGCCCCCGATGTTTTATGAGAGGGCCCCGCATTGCGACCGCATAGCGGACTCGTTGTGTGAAGTTGATCGGGGGCGGTCTCGCGATGCTGTTGGGCGAAGGAGTTTACGTGATGGCCCTGAGTGTGATAGTGACGGCAAACGGCCCCCGGGAGAGCGGGGATTGGCACCGGAAGCGCCCAGGGCGGAGGTGACATCAATGCGGCACATGTGTGCTCTGTGGAGACCAGCCAATGACAACGCTACACCATTATGTTGGTTTGGTTTAAGGATCTGCAAGCGTCCCCAGCTAGGGTGACGAGAGCTAGATTCGTGCATGAAATCAAAGTGATGATTTGTGGCCGGTGGAATGGCAAATCCCCCTGAACTGAGGGATTCAGGTCGGGGCCGTTGGAGACTTTGGGGTTCTCTGGCTGAAGGCCGCATGATTGCTCGCATTTGGGGGTGCACACTGTACGGTGTGACCGGCAAGAACTAATCCCACAATGCCGCGCAAGGACGTTATTCGCGCTGTTGACTGGCAAGCCTCTTCCGTTACGAGCTGGAGGTCGCGATGAGCTGATAGGAAAACACTGTACCCCATCATCATCATCAGCAAGGTTCTTGGTGCAGCACCATCGTGCGATGAGGCAATCAGGGAGTAGGCCTTTGATTGCTACGTGCCCAACAGGCCATCTCATTTGTAACAATAATGGCTCGCTAATAGCTTGTACTTGGCTCCGCCTCGCCTGAGTTCAGTGAGACAGTATCGATCAGGCAAGTGATCGAGCAACGTCGGCCTCCAGATTCGATACGGCCTATCTTACAGCATCCATTCCACTCACATCGTCTTCAATGAACCTCTTCGCTTCGTAAAGGTGGGGCTGTCCCTCGGCAAGGAAGAGCTTCACCTTGCTTTCTCCAAGACAATGAACCATGTGCTTGCTCACAGAGAGGTCAACATCTTCATCAGCGTCACCCTGTATGATGGTCGTGGGTGGCTACGCTACAAGTCTACTCTTGCCCACCTCGGTCTTAGCCCACTCAAAGCCTGGGTCAACTTCGCCAACAAGATTAAGAAACTCGTTGCGGTAAAGGTAGTAGTCATAGAGACATCCTCGGGGGAACTCGTCGCAGTTGCCATCATCTGAGATAGGGAGTGGAGGCAGTGCGAACTCGGTGTTCTCTGCACCATCTTGAAGGATCTTGTCGACGTGAAAGACCCGTGGGTTATTCGCTGATGTTGTTCCTATGGATACCGACGCGGACAGGTGGTGGCTCATTTGCGTTTCGGTTATGGGTTCTGGTGTAAGTAAGACTGACGAGCTGAAGAATGGATGGCGGAAAGTCGTGATGCCGGTGATTGATAACAAGGCAATGGGAGATGGCTCGAGGTGATGGGCCGTCAGGGATGCCATGAAGAAACCTAGAACTAGAGTCAGGACTTTGAGGATGAGTCGATTCCGTGAAGGCTTTCTTACCCGAACTTGATCCGCCTACGATCACATTTCGTTTTGAGGCAAATTCATCTGCAACTCCCCAACATCTCGCAAAGGAGTAAGCCTCTGTGGCATCTTGGAGCAGACCTGAAGGTCCGGCCTGGGGAAGCATCCGATAACTCGCACTGACGAGTACCCATTGATTCTTGAAGCAGGCCTAGTGCGGTAAGGTCAGCTACTTTGTCGGATGAGGAAGCACGATCTATGTTGGACCACGGGATGTTGTTCATGAAGATGAAGGGCTCACCTGTACCAGCCAAGGTGGAACACATTCCCTGGAACCGCTTACGAGGCCACCTGAGTGGAAGTACAGGAAGACGGGAGAAGTGGGTGGATAGTCATCAGAGGAGTACACATCGCACTCGAGCGGGATCGTTTGTCGCGCAAAGACACGGGTAGTCTTGGTCAAGCGACGAGTGTCCCATAACGCTGGTGCCGACATGTTGTCTCAGAACACAGATGGATGAATATTCTTGGGAAAGGAGATGAGAAGCTCAGCTGGGATCGTGGGGGAAGAGTGACTGGTAGCCGTGTCCAAGAGGCGGAGGTAAGCAGATTATGGTGGCACTCATGACGAACATCATGAGATTCAACAGTGTGAGATGGGATAGGATGATTTGATGCAATGGCTGCGGCCTTTTGGCGGGGGGTCTGCTCATGTCGCCTCACAGTAAGACGGAGCAATTACATGAGATGAGAGCTGCACCAGCCACAGAGGAGCAGCGCATGAGCCACAGTTTCTCTTTTGCCGATCGGCTAGAGTCTGGAGACAACAGACGGGAAGCACCGCAATTGGCGCTAAAGATGTACAGGAGCCATGGAGAACTTCAAAATTGGAGCAGAGGAGGGGCCGCGGGCAAGAGCGGGCAGGCGGGGTAGAAGAACTGGACTTTCACTCACGTAATCAAGGACCAGATGAAGTACGTACAAGGCGGTGAACATGTAGATGCCAGATCAGGACTAGCATTGTTGTTCGCCGCGGGATGGTTTTGCCGGTATCCCGTCCTCACCGTATTACGGCATTCCCCTCTCCATTGACTCCTTATTGCCAATTGCCTCTGACCGCTGGCGTTCCTAAGCCGGGAATGGACATGGCAATCAGTACGTAACCGCAGACAAAGCATCCTGGTCGACTCTGCCCGTAGAGCGTACGGATAGGCAGGCATACCTACCTGAGGGAAGGTCGTATCGTCGAATCGAGTTCCGCTGACACACAACTTTGAAGAGCCCAAACGCATTGATGTCACTCCGATCCTTGGACCTTAGGGCAACTGCGGATCTGGAATGCTAATCCTTGCAGAAAACTTTCACCGACCGCTTTGTTCCTTCGTGCTTCCCAAGCGACCTTTTACTTTTGGGGCCTTTTGGTGCTAGCTCCCAGACCCGGCACCACCACCGGCACCAGTCCGCTCGCTCGCCTCTTTCAAGGTCGCGAGCCACAACACCTCCAATCTCTCAGTCGCAATTGTTTGACCACCGAGTCAGCCTTGCTGTGACAAATTTTCCTATCATGGTTCAGCCTGACACTGCTCCAGCAAACTGATACTCGGCATTCCTATCCCCAACACCGTCTTTCCCGTCCTGAATCTCAGCCTTCCGTCTCTACCCGTAGCCAACAGCTGCGACCTACCTTAGACTCGAGACGAATGCACTGTAACCTCCCGTAACATCAAAACAACAACAACATCAGAACAAGGCCGCTATTGTGCCGTATATACGCGTAGTCCAAAAGAATCTCCGAATCGATCTACATCTCGAGATCCAGTCTCGCTTAACCCACCTCCGCCAATCTCATCTGAGCCTTTCTCCAGCTCTCTCTCGCCCTATCGCCCTCTCTGCTGCCCCTCGCCGCATGAACCTGTAACGTCATCTTGTTTGGGGGTACGAAAAAATGTCAGGTAGCCGACCACAACCGAGTCGCACTCCTTCGCAAATAACGCAAACAACACAGACAACACATCGCCCAGCAAATCCCAGCGGTTTGCGCCAGAGCTACACCATGGGCTCTCCCATCCAATCTCCAAGCTCTCTCGGCGGCGAGTCTGAATACTTGAGCACTCGCGAGGATGCCACTCCGCTTGCAACCCCTCTTCCTAACGACAACGAACCTCGCGATCCTCCTCGCGCCGGCTCCAGCCTCAACCGACCGAACACGTTCCCGCCGAGCGAGTCCACGAGTCTCTTGCAGAACGTTCTCATCGACAACCCACTACCTAACAGCTACCCTCATGGGACCTTCTCGCCGCGACCCGCCAGCCCTGCTGGTAGCATGGACCCCGACTTTGACAGAGCATCGTCCTCGGCCTCCGAAATCCCAATCTTGGACCCTGTCCTGACCGCGATCACGGGCGACGACCATTGGAGAAAGCGATTCGTCAGGAAGATAAAGAGCAAGAAGATGCACTCCTCGAGGACTTTGGCTGAGCAGGCCGGCTTCAAGGATACTGTTTGGATGTAAGTTGGCCCCGGAGCTGGAGCTCTCTGGCGCTCAATTCGGCTTTGCTTGCTAACTTTGTTTGTTTTGCAGGTACCTTTCGTACTACATCCCTCTTTTGACCTGGCTGCCGCAGTACCAATGGTCGTATCTAAAGGGAGACCTTGTTGCAGCTTTGACGCTCGCCTCCCTCTACTTGCCCATGGCTTTGTCCCTCGCCGACAACCTCGCACATGTTCCTCCGATCAATGGCCTGTATGCCTTCGTCTTCAACCCATTCGTATACGCCGTTTTCGGTAGCGCGCCTCAGATGGTAGTTGGTCCGGAAGCTGCTGGTTCCTTGTTGGTCGGGTCTGTGGTCAGAGGGAGCATCGACCATGACAAAGGCGACGAGTACAACGCTGAGGTCCAGGCTAAGATCTGTGGTGTCGTGGCGGGTATGGCTGGTGCTACTGTCTTCCTTGCGGGTCTCGCCCGCCTGGGCTTCCTCGACAGCGTTCTCAGCAAGCCATTCCTCCGCGGCTTCATCTCTGCGATTGGCTTCGTGATTGCGGTTGACCAGTCCATCCCTGAGCTTGGTCTTGCAAAGTATGCGGCAGAAATGGGTGTGGGCCATGGAAGCAGTATGGACAAGCTAGAATTCATCTTCAGCTCGTTCGACCATGTTCACAAGCTTACCTTCATGGTTGCCGGAGTCAGCTTCGTAATCATGATGACTATGAGAGAGCTCAAGAAACACATGGTGCCCAAGTACCCTGGGGTTGCGTATATTCCCGACCGTTTCTTCGTCGTGGTCATTGCTGCAATTCTCTCTTGGCAATTCGACTGGGAGAGCAAGGGAGTTGAGATTCTTGGGCCGGTCAAGGCGGCTTCGGGTCATCTTTTCCAATTCCGATGGCCCTTCCAGACTTCTCACATGGAGCATATTCGTGAGGCGATGGGTACATCCTTCCTAATCGCACTCCTGGGATTCTTCGAGTCTTCTGTCGCAGCCAAAAGCTTGAGCAGCTCTGACAGCCCGTACGGGATCCAGCTGAGCCCCAACAGAGAGCTTGTCGCTCTGGGCGCCGCCAACATTGTCGGAGCTTGCTTCATGAGCTTGCCCGCCTTTGGAGGTTATGGTAGAAGCAAACTGAACAAGCAGACCGGCGGCAAGACGCCAATGAGCTCCATCTTCCTCAGTCTGATTACGCTTCTGGCTGTATTCTTCCTGTTACCGTACTTTTACTACCTTCCCGTAAGTTTCTCCTTCCCCGGAGTATCTCCTCCATCTAACATTCTCAGAAACCGGTCCTTTCGTCCATGATTACCGTTGTAGCATGGTCCCTACTCGAGGAGGCTCCGCACGACATTGCATTCTTCTTCAAGATTCGAGGCTGGACCGAATTGGGATTGATGCTGATCATTTTCGTGTCGACAATCTTCTACTCGCTCACACTTGGCATGGCTATTGGCGTTGGCCTTTCTTTGCTTCAGGTCATCCAGCACTCGACCCGTCCCCGCATTCAGATTCTGGGCCGCATCCCCGGCACGCAACGCTTCGAGAACGCCGAGCTTAACCCCGATAGGCTAGAGTTCGTCGAAGGTTGCCTGATTGTCAAGATTCCCGAGCCCTTGACCTTTGCCAACACGGGCGAGCTGAAGGCGCGTCTTCGGAGACTGGAGCTTTACGGCACGAGCATGGCGCACCCTGCGCTGCCGAGACTCCGCGCCGAGCAACACAACAAGAACGTCATTTTCGATATCCACGGTGTTACTTCACTGGACGGATCGGGCACGCAGGTGCTGTTGGAGATTGTTAGCGGGTATAGAGAGCGTGGTGTTAGAGTTTTCTTCAGTCGCGGTCCCACAAACCCGCGCCATCACATCTGGAGACTCATGAGACAGGCGGGCATCATAGACCTGGTTGGCGGGGAGTCACACTTTGTGACGGATGTCCAGGAGGCCTTGAAGCTGACCGAGTACGAGAACAGCATCAGCGAAGTCGCGAATGCTTAAAAGAGGAGCGCAAGCCAGTCGGCCTTCAATCGTTGGGTGCATAAGAGTCAGTGTGTAAGTAGAATGGGCGTGTTTTTTGGTCACCGGCATTTTGGAGCGAGAAAAGGCGTTCCGATTTTCAGTTCTTGCAGGATATCTGTTCGCCTTACGAAGCGTACTTTATGCTTAATGATTCGCAACGAGAGCGTTATGGATACGTATATAGACAGTATATATAAAAAGCGGTACGATTGGTTTTGCAAGTGTATGTCTCAGGGCTGAGTCGCAAGTGACATGTGTATGTATTCCATTGATAGATTCCAGTAGGGCGAGACTAGGATTATTCGCCAAGTTAAACTGCAAGATCACCAAAGCTCCTCCTCATTTAGACAAAACTTGACGCGAAATAGATGGTACCTTGGGCAGACACAGTGATCGTACAATCATTCACATTCTCAGATGCTTGTTTTCTAATAACTATCAACCAGATTCCCAGCATTGCTTTACTTTACTTTACTTTACTTTACGAAGCCTCATTGACAAACAGACCCGCCATGCCCTGTCCCGTACCAATACACATGCTCGTCAACAGAATCTTCTTCTTCGTCCTGCGCAGCTCGCTCAGACCGGTGACAATCTGCCGCGCGCCCGTGGCGCCGAGCGGGTGGCCCAGGGCAACGGCGCCGCCGCGGGGGTTCATCTTGGCCCAGTCGAGGGCAAGCTTGTCGCGGCAGTAGACGGCCATGCTGGAAAAGGCCTCGTTGATCTCGACGACGTCGACGTCGGCGAGGGCGAGGTTGTGCTGGGCGAGAAGCTTGGGGATGGCGACGGACGGGCCGATGCCCATGATGCGCGGGGCCAGGCCGGCGACGGTGGAGCCGACGTATTTGGCGATGATGGGCTGGCCGAGCTTGATGGCTGTGGAGCGCTTCATCAGGAGGACGGCGGCAGCTGGATAGAAAGTTAGCATACTCTGACTAATTGTAGTTCAAGAATATGAGTGTAAGGACTCACCTCCGTCAGTGACCTGA